TATGAGTCAGAACTGACTCGATGGCACTTAATAATAACATTTCATGTGCAGCGCTGTAGATGAAATACTAACCGCAAGATCAGAGGTTCAGACCCACCGGCTGCTTCTTGGAAACCCTATGTAGGATCACTGTGAGTCAGAACCTACTCCATAGCACTTCACAAGAATAATATCCCGTGTTAAGGGGTCTGGGTAGTGCTAATGGTTTGCTCTTGGCTACTAACCAGAAAGACTGGCAGTTCCAACCACTCAGCCAGCAGTGCTGAAGAAGAAAGGCCTGGTGATCTGCTTCTGTAAAGATGACAGTCCAGAAAACCCTATGGAGCTCAGCTCTGGTCTGTAACTGATGGGTTGCCACAACTCGGAATGGTTGTGTTTTCTGCTTCCCGTGTTAAGCATTTTAGAGCGTTCTTCCACCAGATCTTCTCCCATGGAATGGGAGCCTTTGCCAGAGGTGGAAAAGACTCGGACCTTAGGGCTGTGAGTTGAGGAGGCAGTCTGTGAGGACCAGATCAGGTTGGGAACGTTTTGAGGTATCTGAGAACTGAGGGGTCCACTGTGACGGCCTTGACCTAGGATGTAATTGAGACACCTCTGTGGGGCTCAGCTTCCTTTGAGACTAGAGTGCTCAGGTAAACAGCAAGGAGCAGCACACACTCGGCGGGTTTAGGACCCCGCGGAGGTGACAGGGGTCCGGGAGTCAAGCAGGAAGAGTGGACGTAGGCGGAGCCATGACGCCATCAGCGTACAGCACGTGGGCTAGAGCGCAGGCGCGATGGGGGTGGTGAGGAGTTCCCCCACTCCCACCCCGGGCACTGGCCAGGTCTCCTCAGTAGGACCCCTGCCCTGGCTCGTAGTCAGCTGGGAGTCACCACTTAGGAGGCATTAGTCGAGGGGACAGTTCGTGCAAAGGCCCTGTGGCTGGAGGGAACACAGTGAGTATTGAGTCTCTCGTGGGTCCCAGTGGAAGGTGGGTCTTCCAAGAGAAGTAGGGGAGACATTGAAAAAGGCTGGGGCTTGATGACGCCCGACCTGGTCCGTGCGGGGAGTAGGCATTTAGAGAACCTGGCCCCCCAGTTTTCCCTAATGGTTCTGTGAAGCCCCAGGGTCATGACCCGGGTACGAAGGGGCAGTCTGAGCACGCACTTTGTTGAAAACTACAAGTCTCTCTGAGCAGTCTTGAGACCAAGGCCCAGCCTTGGGGAGGCACTGGTCAGATGGATAAGGGGCTGTCCCAGGTGAGGATGCTAAGCGCGTATCCAGGTGTTACTGGCCACATTCTTCTCCTTCAGATCCTATGTAGCCTTCTCCACCTACTCTAGACCTCAGGTAGGTGACTTCTGCTCCTTCCTGGGGCTCTGTTCAGGATAAAGGGTTTGATCAATGCCTATACCAGGGCTGGCCCCACTAGGTCTGGACTACACTGGGGATCTGTATGCCCCACCCCCCCCAGGCATATCCCTGCTTCCCTATGGCCTGATTGACTAGGATGAACAGTTCCACCCCCACCTTCAAATACACATGTAACCAAGGCCGCTTCACAGGCCTCCTGGTCTCTTTGTCTCCACACAGAGCCAGAGGGATCTTATCACAACACAAAGTAGGTCAGGTCACCCCAAGGGTTCCTATTACAGTTAGGATCCACACTCATGCTCCTCAGCTTCCAATAAGGCCTGCTGTGCGCCCCTCTCCCCCTTCAGTCGCTATGCCTTCACTCCCTAGTCCCAACCCACCAACCCCCAAAACCATTGCCATCCCCATAGCAACCCTATATAAGGTTTTGAGATTAAATCTTTACAGGAGTAGGCAACCTCATCTGGTGGATTTGAATTCAGTTAGCAGTACAATACCTAACCCACAGTATCACCAGGGCTCCTGCCCCAGCCCTCGTTCATGGGCTGAACTCCACAGCTGTGTTGTGTTCTTTGTATGGAATGCCTGCCTCCCTTCTTCCCTGGGCTGACTCCTTCCTGTCACCTCAGGGAAGCCTTGCTCATGGCTCCTTCCAAAATAACCCCACCCACTAGCCAACCACCCATTGCAATTTAATTGATTACTGTCACTACCTTCAGTTTCCTATTTAGTTGTTCCTGTCTGGGGCCCTGGATGTGTGAACATGAGAACAGAGACCGCCCACCTCTATTTGGTTCATTCCTGTTTTCTTTGGACTTAAACAGTGCCTGGAATCTAGTAGGTGCTCAGTGAATGTTGTAAGAACTCCAGTTGACATCTATAGGGCATCTCACCATTGAGATATCTCTTGAGCACCTGCTGTGGGATAGAGTCTTGTGGGTATTTTACCTGCACTGTGGTATAGAAGAGGTTCTGAGGTCAGATTCTAACTCTCTGCTCTCTGACTGAGGGGTTACAGTACCCATTCACAAAGTTGGAAGCATCAATGGAGGTCTGACATGAGGTTTAGGAATATGCATTGTCACGAGATTTCCCCCAGACCTTTCCTTGAGGAGAACCCTGGCCTAGTTTATAGGGTGGGATGGACCTGGGGGGAGGCCTGGCCATCACTTTTGAGCTGTGTGAGCTTGAGTAGATAACTGTGTTTCTCTGAGCTCTCATCTCATCTCTAAAATGAGGGTCAAAGTCCCCAGCTCAGGGACCACTATGACACCTGGCACACAGGCCCTTACCTCATTCTGCACACCCGCACTGCCCCAGCTCCCTCACTCCTAGAGCTGGGAGGCCTCAGCCACCTCTGGGCCCCTACTCCAGCCCTCATACACACACACACATACACATAAACCCTCCTCTCACTTTTCATTCTTGTAAATTGACGTCAGCACTGCTGAATCATGAAGCTGAGGTTTGAGAGATACGGAATCTGCACACCCCGGGAAGCCACATGCCACCCCCAGCCCAGCCCTTTCCTCTACAACACTGGCTGCGCTGGGCTGTACTCACGACTCGACTCTAGCCCCTCCACCCCTCTGGGTGCCTGGAGTGCACTCCGGGGTCTTTCAGGGTACTGTCAGTATGTCAGTCTAGACTTACAAAAGAGGACACCACTGGAGTGAAAAGTGACATCTCTGGGGAAAGTGTTCAGAAGGGTCTTTTTTCTTAGCTGTGTTGCTCTGGGTTTGATAAAAAGAATGGGTTTGTATACCTAAAACTTACAGAATGAAAAGGTAACTCTTAATGAAAGAAAGGGGAGTGGGGGAGGAAAGCCCTTAATAATATTGTAATGTTTGCTTTCTTTTCCTGGCAAATTCATCTCTTTTTCTCAGAGGCCATCTGTCAGAAAGGGGATGTTGATAGTACATAAATCAGAGGGCTAGGGTGAAGGTTAAAAACTTTAGTGTAAGTAACTAGGGAGCTTGGCTAGAGTCTGGTAGTGCAGTGGATAAGCACTTGGGCTGCTAACAGAAAGGTCAGCAGTTTGAACCCACCCACCACTCAGAGGGAGAAAGAGGTAGCCTCAGATCATAAAGATTTACAGCCTCAGAACCCCTGTAGTCTATCTGTAAGGTTGCTGTGAGTCAGAATCAACTCCACAAGCTCCGTGTAAATGTAGTTGCTGGTGGTACTATTACTGCAAATGTTGGCCCCTCAAGGGAGGTTGCATGGTTTAGTGGTACCCAGGCTGTGAGGCAGTCTTGTCTGGCTTTGAAAATCTAGCTCTGCCATTTGCTATGTGCTGTCTGTTGCCTCTCAGAGCATTCCTTTCTACATCTGTAAAATCACACAATCACGTAGTTTGAGTCTTCCTATTGTTGTCATCAGATCCCCAAGCTCTACCTTCTTGGATCTCTCTAGGCACCGCCTATGGGGATAGGAGACCCAGGCATCAGTCCATAACAGCAGAGAGCAAAGGGCAGGGGGTGGTTTAAAAAACGAAAGGTAAAGCCCAGCAACTCCTTGGAGGCCGAGAGGCAAGCTGGCACCCTTTCCCTCCCACCCCACCTTATTAAGGGATGGAGCTGCCTGAGCCTTCAAGATCCTATGTCTCCTGAATCTTGAGGTCTGGGGCTGATTTTATCCCCCAGACTAGCCTGGGTGCACCAGATCTCCACTGTATGTTAATTTTATGCTACATGGTGTCATCTGAAAGGTGATATTAAGCATGTCCAAGGCTGTAGAGGGCTGTTTCAACTTCTAAAAATGAAGTGCGGCTTAACCCCAAAACCTGAAAATGACTCAATTCACCATGCATAGCGGGACAGCCTGCATGTTCCCGGCATGGCCAGAAAACCTGTGTCCCAGTCACTTTCTGGTACTCTAAGTTAGCTAGCTCCCTCACCAGCATGAAACAGCCTTTCCCACTGTTGAGAACACCACCTCCTCCAGCCAGCCCATTTTTGAGGTTAGCAGCTGAGGCCCACAGGCAAAGGGAATTGCCCAAAGTCATCAGCAGCATCTCCTGCCGCAGCAGACCACAGAGCCTTTTTCTGGCTCCAGGTTTTAGGTACAACAAAAAGTACACAAGAGCCAACAAGGTAGGCAAGAGGAAGTCAGACCTACCCTTGCACCTCCTTTCCATCTGAAATATATCTCCCTGGACGCTACTGCCTCAGAATGTGCCACTCCTAAAAACTCATCAAGCCCCAACCCTCTTCCAGGAAATCATTGGGGGCCTACAAGGACAGACACTTCTTCTCTGTCATCCATTTCTAACAGACTCTTGTTGGGCACTCAAAAGAACCAAGTGTCTTCTTTGACAAGAGAATTGCCACAGGCACATTTACCTCTTCTGAAAAATGGATCTAAGATCCTGGGGCTCACAGGTTATTCCTATCAGAAACCTGAAGCATGTTAAGCACTGAACAGGGCCTGTTAATTAAGTGCTCCTATTTTACCAGACACACACCACCAAGACACCAAAAGGGGGCCAGTCAGCCGTCTCCCCAGGCTTGTGGGTAGAACCCAGCAGTCTTCACAGCCACACATCACCAGCTGCATTCCACCTCCACCCGGAGGCTCTCCAAAACCAGGGAAAGCCTGGGATCAAATCACGCGCCCTACAAACCTTTTTTCTTAAAAAAAAAAAAAAAAAAATTCATAATAAAGTTTATTATCTAAACTGGTTGTAAAAAATATAAAATATAATTCTGCATAGCAGAAAAATCAAGCCAGAGACCCTCCCCCAACCCCTGGTTTGTGCAAAGATACAGAATATATGTAAACATGAAGAGGTAGGAGGTGCGAGTTCAACTTCTGGTCCCGCTGTAGTTAAGCTGCTACAACAACCAGGGGGACCCAGAGGGAGCACCAGGATGGGGTGCACCCCCAAACAGGTGGGGAGGGGGCTGTGGCTTCATCTCCAGCCTAGAGTGGGTGGCGTCCTGCCTCCTCCCCTAGGCCGGCTCCCTCTAGCCCAGGTGGGGAGGACATCCATGTAGTTCCAGGCAAATAATAATAATTAATAATAGAAAATAAAAACAAGTCGCCCCAGTTAATGCTGCGTGCTCGGCGGGCGCGGCCGTTCAGATCTGGAAGGGGAAGGAGCTCAGGTAGTCAAGAAGGACAGGGTTGAGGGGGATGCGCGCCAGGTTCTCGCGGCCCACGGTGGCCACGATGCGCTGGCGGCACAGCTCCTGCAGCGGCCGCACGCGGCGCTGGCGCAGCGGAGCCCCCAGCATGCGGCGCGGCGCCGCCACGTAGTGCTCCAGCAGCTCGAAGAGGCAGCCGAAGCTCTCGCGGCTGCCGTCCAGCTGGAAACGGCCGGCCTGGAAGTGCACACGGATGCTTGTAGGACCCGAGGCCATCTTCACGCTGAGGGCGAAGAAACAGTTTCGCTGGCGGCTGTCGCGCACCAGGAAGGTGCCCACGGGTTCGGCGCGCAGCCGCTCGTGCGCTCCGTGCACGCTCAGGGGTCCCCAGTAGAAGCCGCAGGCGTCGAGGAGCGCACTGGCGCGCGTGATGAGCCGATACTCGGAGTGAGATCGGAACGTGCGGAAGTGTGTGTCGCCAGGGGTCGGGACCACCGGGGCTGCTGGGCAGGGCCTGGGGCGCACCGGGGCCGGGGGCGCGGAGGAGGAAGGCTCTGGCCGCCGTCGGGGCTCTGCTGCCGCGGAGATTGCATTGTCGGCTGCCACCTGGTTGTGTGCTACCATCCTACACGCGGGGCCAGCCGGAGGGGTGGGCCATAGCGTCCGGGGGTTCGCTGATGGGGGAGACAGAGCAGTGAGCAAGAGTGCCTCGGAGGGGTGGGATCGGACTCTAAGCCGAACAGACAGACCCAAAGGGGTCGAGGTAAGTTTCAAGTTTCCACAACCCCTTGGAGTCTCAGTGGACTCAAAAAGAAAATGGGCTTCCACACCGCGGAACACTTCCAGGCGGGTGGTGGATCATGAAGGCAGAGCCCAGGTTCCCGGTCGCCTGGAGTTTGGGTCGCAGCAGGGACCGTGGAGAGGGGTGCCGGGGAGAAACCTGCTAGACACCAACCGCCCGCCCTCGGCTCGCCGCCTGCTGGCCAAGGCAGGGATCGGCGCCTCGTTAGGGGATTTTGGCAGAGACCAGAGAAAAGCCCCACTGCGGGTACCCCTCGCGCGAAGGATGGCCTGGGTGGGGCCGGCGGGGGCGTGGTGGCCACGACCCCACCAAGTAGCTCCCGAGGCCGGTCAGCTCGTTTTCTTTCCTCCCCTCTCCCTCTTCCTGGCCCAGAGACCTGCTCACCTGGCGGCGGGGCGCTGGGCGCCGCAGGCGAGGGGCTCCGGGGCGGTTCTCGCGCATGCTCCGGGGCGAGGAGCCGTGCCGCTGCCACGGCCGCAGCTCGCTCTGCTCGGCGCCGAGCTGGAGTCCCATCCTTTTAACTGAACTGCTGAGCCGAAGCCAGAGACTCCGCCCCTCTGGCTCCACCCCTTAGAGACCCCCGCCCTTCCGCACCACTTTCGGTTTCTTTTTTCGCGGCAGCGGGCGGCTAGGGAGAACTGGTGCATAACTAGAGAATCTTCTCATGAGAGCCTGGGAACCCCCCCAAACTCGGCTTAACCTTGCACCTGGGCTGCGATTCCTCCATTGCGGGTCTGTGCCTCCGCTCCTGAGTCTTTCGGCCACTGCCTTCGGCACTGACACCCCTAGTTTGCCCCCACTATCTCTGGTCCTAGGCGTTTAGAGCTAGGTCCTCTAAAATGCTCTGGACTAACCCTGAGACTCTTCTCTACCCTTCCAAGTGTCTCAGACCTCATCCCAGTACTTCTCTGCCCTCTATCCCTCTCCAGCCATATCTGCCCTGGGAGATAGAGCCTAGAGCATGCATGCTCCCGCCTCAGTCCCCCGTGAGCTGCGGCCCGGGGACCCTCCGGATTAATTCCACTGTCACCCTCCTCACTGTCTCAGAGCCTTAGGCATCTCCCCCCCCCCCGCCCCCCGCTTCCCTCCGGGCCAGCTGCCGCCCCAGCCTTGGTTTGGGCTTCCCAGGAAGCGGTGACTTGACCGCAGGCTTTGGAGGAACCCTTCAGCGGCGCGGGAGGGCCGGCTGACGGGGCGTTAGTTCCTTGGAAACCGGGCGGGGCCTCGGGTCACACCGTACGTGCCCACTGCGCGGCAGCTGGAGACACTTAAGGCCCAGGGAGACACTGTGATTCTGTGTCTGAGATTCAGCGCCCCGAAATGGCTCATGCGCCCCCCAATTTTATTTTGGGGCAGCTAGCTGATCACATACTGCAAAATTTTGGAGCCTGTTGAAAAAAAAAAAAAAAAAAAAAGGTTCATTCTCACATGTGATGATCCCTTAAACTGACTTCAAGCTTTCTAGCCATTCTGAATTCTCCGGTGGCTCGATGGAGGATCTGCCCCATCCCCACCCCCACCCCCACCCCCACCCCAATGGAATGGTGCGGGCTTTGGCGGTCGGAGCGTTGGCTGAGAAGCCCCGCCTCCCGGGGGGTAGGTGCTCAACCGACGCCCCTCCCCTACCGTTTGTAAGACGCTCCTCACAGCTGTCATTGGTATGTTCCTGTGTGATCCTGCATGTTGGGCTGAGGGCGGGGCCCACGAAGTAGGCCTGATACACGTCTATTTGAAAGAAAAAAATGAGAGTTAAAGCTGGCCCTTTGGGTGCCCCTGGGTCCGGTATGGTCGGAAGACACCCCAGGCTAGGGGCGCAGGACTGGCCAGACGCTAGCACACACTGCCCTCTACAGACAGCTCTGGGATGCAGCTGCCGGTGTCTCTCCCGGAAAGCCTGACACCAAATGCTCTTTCCCATCTAGCAGTTTCCCTCCCTGGCCGGAGTGCCTCAGTTTCCCCTGGCAAGGAGGTGACCCCATCGGATCCCTGAATTCTTGTGCGTCAAGGGCTGCTGGTGCTCCAGGGTCTCGTGTGTGTGTGTGTGTGTGTGTGTGTGTGTGTGTGTGTGAAGGAAGATGGATAAAATAGAAAGTTATGGTGAAGCTATACTGTAGTTACTTTGAAGCTAGAATGTAGACTGTCTGGGATATAATTCCAGTTCTGCAACGGTCTAGCCTCTTGGCCTTTGGTATGTGGTGCTATTGTATCTAAGGCCAAAGTTATCTAGTGCTGTTGAAGCTGAGGCCAACGTTGTAACAGCACAAGTAGGTGGTTTTAACATACAGATTTATTTTCTCATAGTTTAGGAGCATAGAACTCTGAATTCAGGGCTTCCAGTACTAAGGGAAGGCTTTTTCTCTGTGAGGACTCTGGGGGGGAAGCCATCCATTTTACAGATAAGGAAACTGAGGTTACCCATGCCTATTAGACAATTAATTAGCTCAGAAGGAGCAAAGGCAGGAGCCATACCCAGAATAAGCTTTCTCCCTTTGTCCACTGTGCTTTAATGCCCTTCTTCCCCAATCTTCAGGGCCTCCCACTCTGCTCTGTCTCCAAGAAAGACAGTTGATGCCCAAGAGATGCCACGGCTGGCCTGTATGGCTTTGGACCCTTCTATACAATGGGCCTGACCCTCTCCTGCTCCGGGAAGTCAAGAGTCATGCTCAGTTGCTAGTACACGTGAGTTTTCCACTCAGGCAGCAATGACAGTTAATACATCTTTCGTTTCATTTTCACAAGTTCTGACTTCAAAATGAAACCAAATCCAAACGCCAAGAAGGGAAAACACGATATGCTGACTGGCAGGCATTGTGGATTGAATAGTGTTCAACTTCAAAGTATGTGTTGTTGGTCCTAACCTATGTACTTGCGGTTATAATTCTCCCGGGAAAGGGGTGGTCTTTTTTTTAATGAACGAAGGCAGGATTACTGTAAGGGTGTGTGTCAAATCCATCTCTTTTGAGCTAGAAAAGAGATTAAACATACCAAGCCACATGAAGATCACCCAGGAGCAAGCAGCTCAAAGAGATGGCCTTCCTCCAGCACCAGCCTTCCCTGAGAGCCCCCCACCCCCATTACCTTCGGGTTGATTCCAATTTTGTGATGCTATCGGCAGCACCCTGAATTAGAACTCCCAACCTCCTGAATTGTACAGAAAATCCATTTCTGTTTGTCTGCACCACTACATGTGGTATTTCTGTTCTGGTAGCTCTAGCTTAGCAACGATTGTGAGGTTGGTGCAGGACCAGACAGTGTTTCGTTCTATTGTGCATTGGGTCACTGTGAGTTGGTACCGACTGGATGGCACCTAACAGCAATAACAAAAACAGTTCTAGAGAACTAAGACAATAGCAGCCCCCGCTCACAGAGCAGGGAGAATGATTTACAGAATGACCGGAAACTTGGAGAGGAGTGCAAGATTGAAAGTGACTAGAAGTAAATACCGGTAACCGATGGTACATGGAGGGCATTATAATCATTGTAATGAAACACAGTTACATGGTTTGTTGAATGTAAGACTGCTCTGCTCTGTAAACCTCCACTCAATTCATAACACAAAGTTTCAAAAATTAATTATAAAAATGAAAAACAAAAAGGTGACCAGAAACTGTAACTTGGTCCAGAGCAGGGGCTCAGCCAATGTGTCCTTTCCCAGGGTCTTCTGGGGAGTGAGGATGACCCCAGACTCAAGCCTTGGGGTCCTCACGCAGTGCTCTCTCCTATAAAGCAAGAATGTCCCCCTCTCCAGAGGGTCCTTCTTTATGCCCATTTCAAGGACTAGTGGGGTGACACCTGGGGTCCCAGGGCAGTCAGTCATGAAGTTTGTTTCAGGGCCTCTTCTGTAGCTCTTTTTAGCTAAAGCACTCACTGCCTGGAAGGTCAGCAGATTCTGGGTACGATCCAAAGGTCTCCAACCCCCGACTAAGGTCCTGCCTGAGCAGACCCTGCCAATCCCTAGGCCTCACCTCTAAACCCACATCTTCATATTCTGCACTACCTCTACCAGCTCCTTTCTGATCCTCAAGCATGCCAATCCTGCTACAGGGCCTATGTACTGACTGTTCTCTCTAGCTGGGGTCCACTTCATGACCTTTTAGAAAGCCTGCCTCCGCCCATTCTCCAGGCCTCAGCCAATGTCTCCACCTCCAAGAGCTTTCCCTGTGTGCCATCTCTACGGAACAGTCCTCATCCCTAGTCACTCCCATTCTCCTGAAGCACTGGGCAGGATTTGAAATGACGCTAACAGTTCATTGTGTCTCTCATATCTGTGCTCAGTGTTTAACACCTACAGATCAAATGCTGAGGGAGTAAATAATGAATTCAACTTTAACACGCTTGCCAGACAAAACGATTTTTCAGACCTTAAATGGATCAAGGACCGGATATTCCCCACTCGTGTTTTAGGCAAAGAAACTGAGGCACAAGGAAGCTAAATAATTTGTCCTAGGCCACACATTCCTACAGTGTAATTTTTTTGTAAAATACAAATAGAAGACTAAGTCAGTATCTTAACTGATAACCATACTGGAGAGTTAAGTTACCTAATAGCTTTTTAGAAAATACCATAATGTTTTGGCTAAGATTGAAAATTGTGATTCATTACATAGAGCGATTAAAGTGATAAGGAGCTCTGGTAGCTAAGTGGTTACGAGTTGGGCTGCTAACCTCAGGGTCAGCAGTTCGAAACTACCAGCTGTTCAGTGGGAGAAAGATGAGGCGTTCTGTTCCCGTAAAGATTTACAGCCTCGGAAACCGTGTGCAGGGTTGCTATGAGTCGGAACCGACTCCACAGCACATAACAACAACAACACATTCCTAAAGCCTCAAGAGTAACAGCTGAAAATGAAATCCAGGCTCTAAACCCTACTGTGAGGAGCTTCCTGGGGAAGCTGCCAAGGCAGAGGGCAGTTTATGAACCACCCTGGTCCTGGCTTGGCCACTCTTGCCAGCAGGATATGGCGAGAGCTGGAAAGAGAAAGTGAAAAATCTGAGCTCTGGGTCAGGATCTTAATTATTGTCTGGACCCTTCCCTTCCGGGCTGCCGAAGCCAGAGTGAGCCCTACCATTTGCCTATCTGCATGTGGCCTGAGTGAACAGTACACACAAGCCTGCCTCATCTACCGTGAGACCAGGAATCACTTTGTATCTCAGAACCCATTGTGTAGACAGGGCAACTTAGGCCCGGAGAAGGCCAATTGTTTGTCCCAAGGTCCAGATGCAGCTGGAAAGCAACAGATCTGGAGTCCAGATACAGCTTGGTCACATGGCAGAATCTACAATCCTGAGCTGTCCTTGAGTGCAGCCTTCTCGGGAGAAGGGTCCAGAAGCAGATGCCTGGTGATTTAGTTAGCTAGTGCCATGTCATAACAGTCCTACAAGGTATGTGTGTGTGTATGGGGGGTGGGAGGCGCGCGGGGGGCAGGTTACTTTAACAAATCGACATAGATTTTCTCACAGTTTAGAGGCTGGAAGTACAAATTCAGGGCCTGGCTCTGGGGGAAGGCTTTCTCTCGTTGTCAGTTCTGGAGGAAGGTCCAAGTCTCTGCTGACCTTCTGCTCCTGCGTGATCTTCATCACATCTCTCTCCCCTCTGTCTCGCCTTCTCTCTTTGGCTTGTTTAATCTCCTTTATATCTCAGAAGAGATTGATTTAAGACACAGCCTGCACTATATATAACCACATTATAACCACAGGCACTGAGACCAGGATTGACAACACACATTTGGGGGGCTACACCAGACTTGGCTTGGAGGTGTCTGTCAGAGAAGTCACTTTCTTATATGGGCTGGAACCACCCCCGTCCCTGAGCTGCAGAGATTCTTTGTGTGCTTCTGTGCATTGCTGGGGAGGGAATTGATGGTACTTAGATCCCAGAGCGTGGTCCCCTCTTGGACAGGCTGAAAGGCCGGGGAGTGATGACAGGTACCACTGGCTGAGCTCCAGAGTCGTGGCCGGCCAAGCCTGCGGTGGGGGTCACTGTGACAGGGAAAGAAAGTTGCTGAGGTCAGAAATTCTGTGGAGTCTGGTTTTCAGAACGCAGTGTTAGGTCCACAACAGATGGAGAAGGAAAGTGGGTTGCTGGCCTGCCTGCCTCAGCGGGGTGGGTTCTGGCGCGTTGACTTCATCTGAGTGGTCTCAAGAACTGTCCCAAAGCTAGACAGGCCCTGCTCCCTCAGGAGTTCACCCATGTGGACACTATTCTGATAGGCTGATTCCCACCCGCTCAAGCCTCATCCCCTAAGTGGCAAATTAGGTGGCTGTCACTGGGAACAAGCAGCCGCAGTCCTCTTGGTCCTTGTCCTGGTGGTAGTGGTGATTGTGTCCCACCGAGTCGGTTCTGACTCACAGGGACCCTGTAGAGGGTTTCCAAGGCTGTTAATCTTTGTGGAAGCACAAAGCCTTGTCTTTCTCCTGCGGAGCCCAATGGTGAATTCGAACTGCTGACCTGACGGTGAGGAACCCAGCTCGTAATCCACTGTGTAACCAGGACTCCTTGGTAGTGTCCTAGAGGGAAAAAAAAATTTCCAGAAGCTACGATAACAGACCCCAAAACTAGCTGAAAAACAAAAAGCCAACTCAATGCCATGGAATCCATTCGTCTCTGTGGACAGAGTGGGGCTGTCCCATGCATTGGGTTTTCCACACTGTCATTTTTACAAAGTCAGGCCGCCACATCTTTCTCTCCCCGAGTGGCTGGTGGGCTTGAATCCACGATAACAACTAAG